AATTTTTCCTTTCTCTTTGGAGTGTTACAAGCTCTTGGTGCATAAAAAAGATCTGTAAAGTTGCAAAGACTAAAGTCTCAAATCCAAAGAGATATTCTTTATCAAAGTCAGCCCCACCTACCTAAAACATCTCGTTCTAACATGCCCCAACATACCTACGTCGCTCTGTGGGAAGATTTGCATAACGCCGCCCAAATGTTCACGCAAAGAAAGAAGGCATAACTTTTATTCTCGCTGTAGTTTTCTTGTTTCCGCCGCAATGTCGTGAAGACACTGTGTGCTTCGTTGTAAAAGCGAAACTACTTTGTTTGGTCTTCCAAAAGAGGACGATATCTGCTTCGTCATGCCTGGAGCTGATCCGTGCTGGTCGCTGAAGAAATACTACAACTTTGCGCTGTGGATCGCCGGATCGGCTTTCACCGTGGAGGAAGCGGAGTCCAGCCCTGAGTCGTCACATGTCGTTCTGGACGCTCCTTCGTCGAAATCGCCTCAGCTCACTCTATCCCGGCCTCAGCGCACGCTAAGCCGGGGCTTCCCCTCACGCTAGGCCGCTGTGTTTTTCGTTGTGAAAGCGAAACTACGTTGTTTGGTCTTCCAAAAGAGGACACGACTACAAATCAGTGGTTAAGTTGTATTTACAACACTGTTCCAGAACAGTTTAACCCAAATATCCAGATGTGTGCAGCACATTTTATGGAGGACTGTTTACTGATCCTGGGAGAGTACCTTTAGACTAAAATGCCAGCAGTTCTGACTCACGTAAGTACGTTTTCATTTAAAGGATTTGCCACTGATGAGGTTTTAATGTTTTTGTTTCGTCACTCTGGCCAGGACACGGCATCAACAGTATGGTGAGGGGCATAACATTTCCATCTCACGCATGAGGTATTCAACCAATCACAACGCATTGGATAGCTGGCCAATCACAGCACACCTCGCTTTTTCAGACCAATGAGCTTTGTAAAAATCGACGCGTTTCAAAAAGGCGGGGCATAGAGGAGAAACAATTATGTACAGTATGTGGAAAATAATGTATTTTTTTTACTTTAAACCGCATAAACACATTTCATTACACCAAATAATGTTCTTTTTAGCAGCATCATATGACCCCTTTAATTGATGCACACAAACCCACACTCATCACTCGCACACACACACAGAGAGAGAGAGAGAGCGAGAGAGAACGAGAGAGAGAGTCGGAGATTGCAGATTGCGCTGCTCACACACACACAAACTTGTCAACGCTTCCCCACGATTTTTATTAATAAATCAGCCAAGATACTAGATCGCGACATTATATTTCTCAGCAAAGAGGTGGTGCTGTTTTTGAAGTAGCTTAATTCATTTTTTGTAGAGAGAGACGCGCAGACGCAGCATGCAGGTAAAGCACACACAACTGTCATCTCTTTCTCTCTCTCTTTCTCTCTCTCTCTCTCTCTCTCTCTCTCTCTCTCTCTCTCGATCAATCGATAATTAATTGAAATAAATGCTATAATTCATTCAAATAAATTTTATCTTACCGCAGTATTTCATCTCTGTTCCTGATTTGAAGTGGGCAGAATGCTAGCACTAACACGCCATAACTGACAAAAATAACTGTTATTTTTACCCTTCGGGTCAAATATTGCGCTGCAATGAGTAATACTAGTTTTAACTTGTCTATAACTTGGCAAATGACCATGGAATAATGACCGTTGATTATCCCTTACTTAATTGGAATGCACAATGAAAAAACATAATTTATGAAAATTGTTAAAAACGGCGTTATCTGTTTGAAGAAACTTCAAATTTAAAATCAACATTAAAATGAACTTAAATGAATTATTGTTTTTGTTTTACACTTTCCAATATATTTTCAAATAATGTTCAAATAATTATTATAATAAACATTTTTTAAAAAGTAATAGGACTCATTAAAATGGCATCAACCTTAGTAAGTCCAAACTTTGTTTCAGTTCTGCCTCTCTGCCCCTACTTTCCTGTCTAGACTATACTGTCCCATAAATAAAAGCAAAAAATAAAACTCTACTTCCTGGTCCATAAAAGTTTATTTTGTTTATTTGAGAAAGGTACCAGGTATGAAGAGCACTTCCAAACCTTTACTTTGATTCAACCTAAAAGTCTACAAAGCTCATTTCTACAAAAAAAAAGACCATAGCAGAGCGTTTAGCCACCAATAACACACTACTCTTGCTTTTACAGCACGAAAAAAAAACCTTAACATTCTTAGATGCTTTAGGTGTAAAAGCCAATGGAATAAACAAATAGAGTGGTCACTTTATTATAGTAACTGTGTTCCATTTGAAGAAAGAGAGAAACATAGAAAAGCAACAACCAGAAAGAAGTACACAACTGTTGAACTGTCCAAACACTGGTCTATTCCATTGCTCTCAAAGTAAGTTTTAATCATATATATTGACACTTACCAGCACATTTGGTCCGAGTGATGAGGGGTGGTCCCGGTGGTCCAGTGCCACCCTCCCCAGGTCGGGTCAGAAGAACCTTAATCTCATACTCCACATCCGGGTCCAAATGCCAGAGCTTGTAGGTTGGCGCATCCACGATGTGCGTCTCGGCCCAGTTTCCAGTGGTGGTGCGGTACTCCACCTCTTTCAGCATGATGGGGCCGTCGCCGATGATGGAGTTGGCATTTGGTTTGATCCACAAGTAGGTGGCACCAACTGCGAGAAGCTCAGGTGGAGCGATTGGTGTGGGGGGCGCTAAAGAAGAAAAAAATGAATTGTTTACATCAGGTTGATTATTATCTACAATCTTTATTTAACACCACACAATCAACCCCTAACAAAATGACATCATAGAAAAGGCTAGACTTTTTGCCATTTTATCATCATGTTAAATGCCTTCAAATACTCTTGGTAATTTTTCACTTAGAAACTCAGAAGTGATCATTATTATGAAGTGCATTGAATGTCAGAATCAAAAAGGTTTTCATATTTCTTTCTTTTACACTTTACAACAAAAAGCTTTTTGACACTAGTGCAACAAAATGAACAATAGATGTGAATTAGAACTACAATCAATGTTTTATCTGCATACTTTTGATTATTCTTCATCAATAGCACGCAAATTGTGTACAAACTAATGCATTCACCAAACACCCTTTATGATCAATACCACGCATCTTCAATAAATGAATAAATCCATATTTGAAAGTGGTGGAAGAAGCAATATAAATAAATGAAAAAAGTGGCTGCACTGAAATACATCAGCCATTTCTGGCAATAATTTTTCAGCAAATTTAAAAAGTTGTTGAAAGCGCAATTAAGGGCTGTAAAAAGTAATCTTGCTTCACTATTACACTGAATTCAGTCATCATTTCACATTTGCTTTTGTAGTGCAAAATGGTGAGAGGAAAATGAAGGCTGGAATTACAGTGAAGCATGCGGCCGAAGCTTTGAAGCTCATTAAGGGATATCAGACAGACTTGCTTGGCCGGCAGAATTGTTAGAATAAATGGAATGAAACGTTTCCTGGAATCCCAGTTGAGAAGGTGGGCTATAGCTTTTCCCTAAACACTTAGCTAAGCTCTCTTCCTCTCCCTCTCTCTCTCCACTGCTTCTACCCACTCACATTAAATCCACTGGAGACAGCTTACGGCTTGCACAGCATTAACTTCCTGTCTCTGCCTGTCTCTTCCTTCTCTGTCTCACTGCCATTTGAGCACCTCAGATTTACCCTCAAACCTGTGAAAGGTAAACAATGTTTCTTTTTTTCTTCCTTTCTTGCTTCCTTCCTTCACTGTTTATTCCCATCCATCCTTACGCTCTTGAATCCTTCCTTACTACTTTCCTTCCTTCCACTCGTTTCCCTTTCTATTTTTATGTCCTACTTCCTCTCTCTCTTTTTTCCTTACCTTTCTTTTTCCCTCTTTTTCTTAATTTCTGTCTTTTCTTCTGTATTCTTTTCTACCTTACGTCCATACTTACTTTCTACCTTCCTTTCTCCCATTTCCATCCTTTCTTTCGTCCTTCCTCCCCATTTCCTTCCATCCTTCCTTGCTTGCTTTCCATTTCCTTTCTTCCTTCCTTTTTTCTCTCCATTTGCTTCCTTCCTTCCTCCATTCCTCCCCATTTCCTTCCATCCATCCTTCCTTCCTCCCCATTTCCTTTCTTCTTTCCATACTTCCTTTCTCCCCATTTTCTTCCTCCCAATTTCCTTCCTTCCTTGCTTTCCATTTCCTTTCTTCCTTCCTTTTTTCTCCCCATTTCCTTCCTTCCTCCCCATTTCCTTTCTTCCGTCTACAGGATTCTTTATTTCAAGTAAATAAGAAAAAGAACCCTAGCAACCACACGGAACACCTTAGCAATGACCTGGTCCAGCCACCCAAACACTTTCTTCATAAAATGTAAATATTACAACAATAACAATATTGTTTCCCCGATTAATTTTTTATGTAAAAATACATTCAGAATCATCTTCTCTATTTTATCCTTTCTTTCTTTATTTCTCAGTTCCCGCCTTCCATCTTCTAATCATGTTTTTGGCACTCTCTCTCAGCAGGAGAGGGTGCAGACAGACACTAATCCAGGGTTAGAGGTGAGTAGCGGTGCATGAAGGGTTCATCCGAGCATGGAAGAGCCACCCAGGCCCACTCTAATGAGAGGCTGCTGTCTCTACTGTGCCATGTAATCAGCTGAGCCAGATTACCAAAGCCCATTTACCCACAGCTGATAACCACTGACTCCCTCAGCTGCCCGGAAAGGATACGCTCTGGCTCGGAGAAGAGAGTTTAGACGTGACCCGTCAACCTCCGAAGCTTAAGAGCGTTTAGTGCTTGAAATGAAAATGAAGGTGGGAGAAAATAAAAACGATAACAGAAAGGAAGGAGGAATAATAAAAAGTAAACAGAGATTACCACAGAAAAAAAAGACAGGAAATATAGGAGGGTAAGAAGAAGGAAAAACATTTTCTGCAGAAACTGTCCACATACTGTATAGTCTCTATAATATTCTGTTTTTTAAATGAGTCCATCATTTAATGCGAGCCTATTGGATATTTTGCCCATTTTATTTGCTTAGGAAATTAATATATGTGTAATACTTAACCATAGGGGTGTGTTTAATTCCTAAAAAAGCATGACCAATAATTTACTGTAGTAAACCCCAGTAATAATGACTGCAAAACAAATCTTCAACACTTTAGTGTGAAATGAGATATTGCTTATGGATAATGTCTTATTTATCATATGAATGGACTCCAGCGTGTTGTTCCTCAAGGTAGCTGTCACATCTAAATTGCAATTTTGAAGTAGTGCCTTTGTTCAAACCATTAATACACTTCCATCGTTTAATGCATTTTCAGCAGTCTTTATGTCAGCACATTGTCCTGGCGTGGGCATTTATGGTCCTGCAGTTGATAAACTCGGCGATTAGTGGAGTGTTTTTGGATTGAGCGTTTATGATTGCAGCTGGATTGAAATGAGGTTTGGATGCTGTTGATGACTGGCTGAATCTTGGTGATTGCTTGTTGATGATTGGCTGAGTGTTATTGTACTCCGGATGATTTACAAACTATTTTGAGCTTCCAGCCTTGATGATGTGGTTGTTGATTAGCACAGTGGTTTGTGGTTATGTCACTAGAGAGATCAACATATGTTCATTACAGGAATGTTAAAACATCTGACGTCTATTAATTACTTTGTAGTCCCATTCAGATCACATATTGCTTAGGATGGCGCAACAGTCTTGACAAAGAAAAAAATAAATTGTGGTATCACAACTAATAACTGCAAGTGCACGAATATAGTGAGGGAGGGCTTGTATATAAATATGCTGGCAGAACAAAAACAAATATATGAATGACACAAAGGCTTCAGCTCATCTCAGCTACTTCTAAAGTTCTCCATTTCTTATGTCAGTATATTCTCTCAAAGAGATGAAATGAGAATAAATAAGAAAATATGCTAGGCTCAGACAGGCTAGACACAACCTCATAGTATGGATAGAGATAACAAAAGGAGCATTACCCGTTCACCAGGGGTCCCTTTCACTCCAGGAAAACCCTATTTTCTACAGACATAAGAGGTTTCCTGCACACACTATTTACTATTTCAGGTGTAGAAATTCATGTGTGTGAGCGAGCACAATTCTAAATACTCTTTTCTTATCAAATTCCCTTGATACACAAAGTTCATTCCCATTTCCACTGATACTTTGCCATACGTTCAGGAATATTAGCAGCAATGTGGTGATTGGAGTCCCTGTGCAGGTGTATGTGTGTCCATGTGGCCAAGCGCCCCTGTAATTTTATCCTTTATCACCTGGTGTCCACAGGGAGGTTTTAAAACCAGCTGGATTTGCGAGAAATCTCCAGAAATCCCACCCTGCTATCTGATCAAAGCCCACCGGGTTTGTCTGATAGCAGAGCTGGAGGAGAGAAAGATGAGCTCCACCGTCAAATGGGAATTTGTAGCTGTGAAACAACAATAATTGCAATCTGGTTTCTCGTCTGTCGGAACAACCAATTCAACAGAAACCGAGAAAGAGAGAATATGGCTACAGTATTAGAAAGTTTAGAAAGATTTAATCTTGAACCACAGTCTTTTTTTAATACCCGCAATTCAGCTGATGCAAAAGCTGATACATACACATTTGTGCTTGCGTACACACTAGAGCAGGGCAATAAATAAGTATTGATAAATTGATGCAGTATATTAAATTTTATTTTGGCTGTGAAACTATATATATATTCCTTACATACACCAAACACCAAAGTTTGGTGTTTCTCTTACCAAGGTTACATTTATATGATCAAAAATACGGCACCAACAGTAATATTGTGAAATATTATTGCAGTTCTAAATAACTGTTTTCCATTTACGTATATTAGAAAATGTAATTTATTTCTGTGATGCCATGCTGAATTTTCAGCATCCATTACTCCAAGTGTTACATAAAAGAGTTGGGCTGCTTAATATTTTTTGTGGAAACCTTGATACTTTTTTCGGGATGCATTGATGTGTAGAAAGTACACAATAACAGCATTTAATTGGATTTGTGGAAATAATGTAAAAGTCTTTACTGTCACTTTTGATCAACTGAATGTTTCCTTGCTGAATACTGATACTATATATTCATATTCCAGCTCTACAAATCTTAAACCTCAACTTGGCTTCACTTCAAGCTCTTCCAAATAAGATGGATACATATTGAGCAACATCCTGAGATTTTCATTCCATTTAAGAATTGCATCACATTATGCCAAAAATCACAGGAGCACTTCAGAACAATAGCAACACTTTCCATAGCATTGACAAGCTCTCTGTACACCAAGACAACAGCAGCACCCACAAAGATACATCCTCCATACATGCAGCCTCATGGGAAACAGTTCCGAGTGACTCACACAGTTGTTTCAAATCATTTGCTTTATTGCTCGGATCAAACCTCGGAAGAACGGCTCAGGGGAAGCAGATGAGAGATGCCAGGAGAGATGCAGTCTGTGCCTTTGACCTGACCCTTATCCCTTGATGCAGTATCTCTTTGGAGGTTTGATTCTCTTTGTCAGGACGAGGAACTACAATTCCCGTTTTTTTCTTCCTTCCATCTAAAATCTAATTCCCCTTCTATTTTTTATAGTTGTGCATCGTGTTAGAAAGGTTTTCGTTGGATGCCCTCACAGAACGCTTTAATCAAAACACCATATTGAACATTATCGAAGAGCAGGGAACAAGAGAAATACAGAGAAGGAACACTGTAAA